TTTTCATAAGATATCTTGATTCAGCTCTAAGTTTTTTAAAATTGAGTAAGTTTTCGTCTGTATTATGTTTTTTAAGTTTATTAAAGGCATGTTTACAAGATGAGAGTGCTTTTGCAATTTCACTATTCCACCAAGGTACGGGTTGCCTTTTACAGGGTTTTGTCCTTCCTATATTTTCTAAAGCTGCTTCAATAATAATATTATTTAAAGAGGTGATATCATAGTTTATATCATTGCTTAAATAGAAGTTTTCAAGTTTATCATTGATATAGGATTGACAGGATGCCCAATTTGCATTTTTTAATTTCCAGGACTGATATATTGGGAAATCAAGGGGACGAATGTGATCTGATGTTATAGAAATTGGAAAATGGTCACTATTATATAATGAGTTTAAAGTGTTCCATGAGAATGTAGTTGAGAGTGATTGACTGCATAAGGATATATCAATGGCGGAAAATGAGCCGTTGTAAGAATTAAATCTAGTTGGATTTCCTGTATTAAGTAACAATAAATCTGAACAATCAATTAGGTTTTTCAATAAGTTACCGTATTTATCAGTTTTGTGGCTTCCCCGTGCCGGGTGGTGGCAGTTCATATCTCCTAAAATTAATTTAGGATGTGGAATTTGGTCAATAAGTTTATTTAATTCGTGCATATCAAGATTACTAGGGTGTGGTAAGTAAATGTTACATATGTTAATCTTTTTATGATAGGTAATAGAGACTGCTACAGCTTCAAGATTAGTACTTAGCGCGATCGGTTTAGCTTCCAAATCAGCTCTGGTGAAAATAGCTACTCCGCCACTAGCTTGTTGAGTTTTTCGATTTTTTTTTAAAACATTGAAAATTTTTTAAATTTATGTTATTTTGTTTAAAGTGGGTTTCTTGAAGACAAAGGATTAAAGGAGAAAGCTCGCCGATTAATAGTTTTACCTGTTCATAATGGGTATAAAACCCATTTATGTTCCATTGCACTATAAATGATTTAGTCATCCCTTAATTATCCCTCAACTAGTGATGATTCGTCAGTATCGTCAGCTGAAGAAGGATTAGGGTTTATTTTTTTCTTTAGTCGGGTGATATTATTTCTTAAACTAGAATTTTGTGTGTAACAATAAACAAAGTTAAGGATCTGAATTAGTTCCTCTGGTTCATTGGAGTAATCTTTGGAAGTTAATTTAGGGTTACGAGAGTTTAAAACATTTTCCATAAAATCACATATTTCATTGAAATTTAGTATAAATGGAGGTGATCTATTTTCGATTTTATCTTTGATGGATTCTAGGGAGTGAATGACATCTTCGCGGGGGGTTTTGGAAGAGGTTTTGGGTTTCTTTTTTGATTTATGTTGTTTAGGAGTATTAAAAACGGATGAGTCGGTTGTTGGGTTATCTTCGATAATTTCAGGAGACGATATGTTATGTCTTTTTAGCTGTTTTGAATTGACTGGATTATTTAAGGTTATTGATGTTTCTGGTGTCGTAATATTTTCAGTGTTATTTACAGCTGGTGCTGTTGTTTTGGAAGAAGAAGACGAAGTGTTTGGATTATCTTGAGATATGTTTTGGATGAGGTCGATTTCTGTAGTATTTTCAGTGTTATTTACAGCTGGTGATGTTGTTTTGGAAAAAGAAGACGAAGTGTTTGGATTTTCTTTAGATATGTTTAGGATGAGGTCGATTTCTGTAGTATTTTCAGTGTTATTTACAACTGGTGATGTTGTTTTGGAGGAAGAAGACGAAGTGTTTGGATTATCCTTTGATATGTTTTGGATGAGGTCGTTTTCCGTAGATTGATATATTTTATCATTAGGTTTATTAGGTTTAGATAATGACGATGTGGTTTGAGTTGAATCTGAGAGGGGAGTTGAATTAGTTTGGTTTGAAATGTGAGCGCATTCTGATTCTTGATGACCAATGGTTTTACATTTGGAGCAACTGAATCCGTCTATGAAGAGAAATAAACGGTAGGAAGTATTATCATGAGTTATGGTAAAAGAGTCAGGAATAGACATATTTTCCAAGGGTGTAATGGATGATTGCCTTCTAAAGCTCAGAACATGACTGTACTCACTTTCAGACATACCTACTCGAAGAAAAGTCATTCTGGATACAGTGTGAATACCAAGTTTTTGTAATTCTTGTTCAATTATTTCGTTCGGGATTGTAGGACATGCATTTGATATTAGAAGTCTCTGGGCTGGAGAAATTAATCTTCTTACTTCGACTTGACATCCATTTATTTCGATATATTTATAAGAATGAAGAAGAGCATCAACAGTGTTTTTTGAAGAGAGGTATATGCATATCCTATTATTAGCAATTCTGGAGGCAAAAAGTACATTAATTGGACCCACTAGTGATCCAACAGTTACGACGTAATCATGGATTTTTGTACCTTCAATGCTGGAAATGACTATTGCTTGTTGTTTTGTTGGATGTTTGAAATAATTTACGACATCTGAGTAACTATGTTTAGTGGAGTTGTTTGTAGTATTATTGTTGTATGAAGTCATTTTATTAATTTTCTTGATCAGAAGTTGAGCCGGTCCTGTGGCCGGTCCAAAAAACTGGTCAAGACCCTACTGGGATTTTTGTTATCTTTTAAGTAGGTATTATTTAAAGGTTATTTTGTTGTTGTTACAAAAATAATACGGAAAGAAGTGCTACTCACTTGAGATAATATTATCAGCACTAACTAATGCACTTAAACTTGTAGTAGAGGTATAAAATTATAAAATATGATTTGTTTTTACCATTTAAAATGACTATATTTCGGGACAGCTGATAACGTGGTATATTTAATCGCTATCAGGGCCGAACCCCCAGAAGAAAAGTTATACGGTATAATTTAAAACTCTAAACAATTTAAAGAAAAAAGCTATGTTCTCCTAAGAGCCTTCTTTCAGTACATCACAGTTTTTCGATTTCTTTCTAACGCATTATGTTGGATATACCCGAAAAAGCGGTAGTTCCGTGATTAAACACATAAATATTGCAGCGTTACATACATAAGCGGCCTATGCCTAACCTACGTTTGATTCGTTGATATTTAAAATGCTGACCTCTGGCGGAATAAATTTAAACTACTAAAAGTGGTATAAACAAACCAGACAGCTGTTGCTTTGAATATAATTATTAAATTTTTTAGTAAATTTTAGCATTATGACTACGTTAAAGTATTTTAAATCAAATCGATATTGTTCTGTTGCTCACTGCAATTCAAGATCAACAAAAGATATTTTAACTTTGACAAAATGAAAGGCTATTATCGAGCACACTTTATTAATCAAATCTTGCCCAAAAACTACAAGTGATTAATAAAAGTGTGCTCGATAATTGCCTTTCATTTTATCAAAGTTCATTTATTTGAGCATTCAACCTTATATCAAAAGATATTTCAACTGTGGTTCTTTATTACATTCTGCGCTTGCTGGATAGCCCAAATTTGACGAAATGTCCCTGATGATGCTGTAGAAAGCGAAAGTACTTGGGCAAGATTTGATTATTAAATTTGTGCTCGATATTTGCCTTAATTTTTCAAGTTCATTTATTCGAGCATTCAACCACATATCAATTATAGTTATATTAGTTACGTAATAAAATTTTTTGAAAACAAGCTTTTTTGTGTTTACAAAAGATGACAGCAAATTATTTAATTTTATAACTAGAAAACAAATTAACTACACTTCATCTAATTTACATACCGATGCACGTCATCGGCGTCATAGCCCACGTCATCAGCGTCATAGCCCGTGACGTCACATGATACCAACACGAAATATTTAGGCAGTAGGTGTGATCTTTTTTAGAATTACTTTGCCGAGTACACTGGCATTACAGCCACTAGACATATTTTATTATATCCGCGTAATAATATTTAAAGATTCCTATTAATGTTAACTTAAAGAAATACACAATAATATGTTTCATTTAATTTGTATAAATGCATTATAAAGCGTTTTTATGAAAAACATTTACTCGGAACACACTGTAACTGTAATCGAACGAAGGTGAAATTTTGGCATAAGTTGGTAACACCTATTTGACAGTTGCGGTATTGACACTTTTTGTACTTTATTATTTTCAATTTTAAAGTGAATACCTCTTGTTTTATATTTTTACCTATTTAATAAAATATGTGCTTTTTAGAACAAAATAAGTGTGTTTTATTTCAAAATTGTCACGTAAGAATTTAAATAGTCGTTGTAAAGAGATGGTAATACTTTTGCAATAATTATGTGACCTATTTGATTTAAAACGGAGTCAGGATTTTTTTAAGCTTTGGCAACTATGTCAATTTCGATCTCTGTCAATGATAATGACGTGCATCGGTAAGTAAATTAGATGAAGTATATGCTTGTATTATATACAATTATAAAAAAAAACAATAAAAGGATCGATTTGTTGTCATTTTTGAATGTTTACATATGTATAAATTTAATAAACGATATTGTTTACTATTTAATTCACCTTGTAATAAAAGTACTAGTTTAAAGCTACAAGCTTTTCACCTGTGAAGTTCGATTTGGAATTTGTCAGATTCGTTTATAATTACATGAACTAAAACTCGACACATCCAATACACTATATGACGTCATAATTAATGACGCACTGAAAGAAGGCTCTGAAAAGAACTATGAATAAATTGTTTCATACTAAATTCTATAATTTTATGTCCATTTTCACAATGTTCCTAAATAAGTAAAAAAAAATATTCAGAAAACGCCTATTATGAGGAAGTTTCGTCGCGCAGGTTTTAAAAAGGCATTTCAGCAGCATTGGTTAAATAAAACATAACAATGAAGAAGTCGGCCTCAATAGTTAGCGCTGTCTAACATTTTGCAGATACGCCAATGACTGAATACATAGATTGCAATCGTTCTGTCTGTTGATTTGCGTTGAGTAGCGACTGCAACTTCATCATAATTAGTGTTTGCTATCAATTAAATATATTACTAAGTTTACATTATTAAATATATGTATGAAATGTACTTACTCATTAGATCTCTAAAAGTTGTGTTATCATGTGTCATTAAATTGTCAACGATTATCCTCCAATACTTCATACAACTATATTCCATTTGAAAAAGTGTGTTGTCTAGGAGGAGATCAAAAACGTCCTTTTTCCATGCTTTCCTTGTATACTGATAACTGCTAAGACTAGATAGTAATTTTGAACAAGCTCCAAAACTCGGCATATTTTTTACAGAGTGAGTTTTTAAATAAGGTACTATATTGCACATAAGTGATATTAGTATGTTGTTAACTTTGTCCTTTTCTGAGGATCCGAAGCAGATATCTAAGATAGGTGCCAGAATTTCTGAGAGAAGCTAGAAAATTAAACAAAAATATTATGAGAGATATTTCACTGATTCTAGATTTCATATACATCGAAGATCGTTGAAATTTCAGTAAATTAAACTGTTTACTGTAATCCAAAGCCTCGTGTGATCACCTCTACTTCCCTATGTCTTATATATAAGGAGCATAGATGCAAAACCCGTTAAGTCACATTTTTGTGAAATTCGCGTTTGATTAATGAGTTTGATTTGAGTTTGATGAAAAAATTAGTTGCAAAGATCGCTAAGTCAGGCCTGACCAATGGCGAAACATTTGGACTGACACGTGATTTCCCATTTCCACAAAGTGGCATGTGACAGCTCCTAACCATATAATGTTTTTAGTGTTGTTTAGATGTTATTCAAAGTAGGTTTACATAAATTTCCTTTTGTTTTCTTATAGTGGATAAAGATAATTAATGGATGTTGTAATATTGGTATTTCTATGGAAAAACGACCCCAGAATGTAGCCGGAACAGAATCGTACAGCGTACTAAACACCCAAGAGTAGTCGCTATGAAAAATAAGGTAAGCATAGAGAGCTAGATAATATTTCAATGCTTCGAACTAATCATGTTTTGTTTTCAGATATTCGGCTAAAAGTTTGCCTGAAAAACCAAAATGTTTTTTTATAAAAATAAGTTCTTGAAGTGAAATTTATTAACTATGAGTGATCTGCAATTTGTTCATGAAAGATTTTATGAAGTTCCATCAAAACTTAAACAAGATGCCCTCATATTAACATGTTGTGAGGCTAAGACATCGGAGGGAAGAAGAAGCCAAGCAGAGAGAGAATTGAGCGGCATAATTTCTCAAAAAGAAACACAATAATCTGAGTGCGTTAACTCTCTCGTCTAATATCAATATCTGGATAGTAGCTGAGCGAGTTTCAACGAAGTTATGTCAAATTATGAAAATAGAACAAACATCAGATACTGTGTGATCATTTAATCTGTGTACCACGAGATCGAAAAATGCCCCAATTGCCTCAGAAATAATGACGGCATACGATTGCCTTCAACATGGGGAGCTCTCTCCAATCATAATAAAACATTATCTGATCCGTCCACCAATCCAATTCCTGCCATCAATAATCTTCGTTCCAACTCCCACCCAAACGAACGTCACCATCGATGGTATAAATAAAACACATTAGTGCAGTGAAGACTGTAGTAGTGAAGTCATCTTTGGGCTCAGGCGACAGAAACTCCGGAAATCCTAATGAAGACTTCAGATAGGAAGTCGAACGCTCGGTATACATAACTTCAAGCTGTTCAATCCGGAAACTTAGTGAGTTATGAGCTAAGTCACCAAATCGATGATTTGATATAATATAAAAAGTATTACGAAATGTATACATCCCGTTCAGAGAAATGTAAAAAGAAATATTTACTCACCAACTGTGCTTGTACATTGTGGTTAGAATTTACAAATGTATTTTGATATAATATAAGAAGTATTACGACATGTATACATCCCGTTCAGAGAAATGTAAAAAGAAATATTTACTCACCAACTGTGCTTGTACATTGTGGTTAGAATTTACAAATGTATCGCTTATAATATTAGAATCCGGCGTCGAATCTTCATCTTGTTCCTTTACGGCAAAGTTTCTTCTTAGCCACGTCGTTTGTTCCAAACAGGAACCGCAGACTTGAGAGACACAATCAATTAACTAAAAGTAAAATCAATGAGTTCAACTAAGCGTCAGTGAGTTTACACAAACATTATAAAAGTTTTAGGTAGGAAGTTTTAGTATTTTATGTAAATGCTAGTCATACTCGTATATCTTATACATTATGTAACAAAATTTTTTCTAAATAATGTAGTGGTTACTACTCATTTTATACAGGTTTTATTTTGAGTTTAAATTCTGTAGACATCGGAATGTTGCGGTTTAAAACCCCGAATAATTCTGGAACTTCAGGCATTGTTCACAGTAGGATTTACAGGTGCAAAATTTGTTGAACATCATACATTTTGACGTTGACACTTTCGTACAGCGTTACCGTATTCTGGGGATATTACAAATACCTCTTACAAACATGAAAGATGAAAACAAGCAAATACTCCAGGTAAGTAGAAAATTATTTCCAGAATCTTGCACTGATAAATTATCATGTAACAATAAAACACTGAAAAACTTTGTTTGATAAATTATCAGTCTGTCCCATGATTTCTGGGGGGAACAAAAAAATGACAAAGGCAGGAAAAAGTTACCCGAATAAGACGACACTTTATATAGGAACATATAATGCACGTTCCCTACTATTCGATGAAAGACTTACTGAACTTGAGTGGGAACTAGAAAACATAAAGTGGGATATAGTAGGTCTCAGCGAAGTCAGAAGACGTAGAGAACAATTAATTAAACTAAAATCAGGGCATAGTTTTTACCACGTAGGTGACGACAATAATTCCTTGGGAGGAACCGGCTTCATTATACACAAGCGTCTACAAACAAGTATAATATCACTAAAGAAATTTTCCACAAGAGTGATTTGTCTTACTCTCAAATTGAATACAAGTTATAATATGAAAATAATATAGGTTTATGCACCAACAACAGACCACGATGAAGAAGAAGTGGATCAATTTTATGATAATATCGAAGCTGCTCTTAGAGACCATCAAGGACATTTTACTTTTATATGTGGTGATTTTAACGCCAAAACAGGAACGAAATTCAACCCTATAGAAACACCACTGGGAAACTTTGGTTTGGATGGTAAAAATGAACGTGGCGAAATACTGTTAAGGTTCATGCTGCAACGTGAACTATTCCAAATGAACAGATTTTTCAAAAAGAAACCACAGAGAAGATGGACATGGCAAAGTCCTAACGGAAAAACTTAAAATGAAATAGATTTTATTATCACAGACAAAAAACACACCGTTAAGACATCACGGTTCTAAACAGATTTGTTACCAGTAGCGATCATAGAATGGTAAGAAGTAAAATAGAAATAAGCTTAAAGAAGGAGATATATAAGACGATTAAAAAGAAGAACAAATCAAAACCATGGATGAAACCATCAGATGTAGATAGTTTTCAGCAATGTATTTCCGACATACTTAGTAGTACTGAAACAGAAAATAATATATTAACATATGACTTATATAATAAATTAACAAATGCCTTACTCGAAAGTCAAAACAAATTCTGTCCTACAAGAAGAGAAGATTAGCCAAAATAACAGGTAACTAATGCAGAAAAGAAGAGAAATGGGAAGCGAGACGGAAACTAAAGCCAACGAACTACAAAAATTAAATAAAGAAATATCCAAAGCTGTTGGACAAGACACTGGAAAATACAACCAAGAACAAATCGAACATACCAATGAGAACAATAGAAATATGAAAGTATTAAGAAAAAGACTATGAATGGGGACAAGGCAGATAAAAAATATTAAAGATAGAAATGGTCATCTTACAACCAACAGAGAGGAAACCCTTAAAATAGTTAAAGACTTCTACAAGTTGCTGTACACAAGCCAACACAAAGCAAATAGAGATCAAGTAGCAGGAATATTAACAAGGAAAAAGGCCATTGTCAACCAAGTATCAGAACTACTACCAGAAATCACAATAGACGAAATAAAACTAGCCCTAAAAAAAGCTAACAATAACAAATCCGGGCAAAGATTGTGTAGTTACTGATGCAATCAAAATCGGAGACACTTGCCTACTTAAGAAAATCAAAAACCTTTTTAACATGTGCCTTTTGGAGAGTAATATACCCGACAAATCGCCCAATGTAAGAAGTAATTATATCGTTCAAAAAATGAGATCCCCATGAACTAGAAAACTACAGACCTATAAGTCTTGTTAGTCACCTATACAAACTCCTAATAAGAATAGTAACGAATAGTCTTGAGAAAAAACTTGATTTCTACAAGCCAATAGAGCAAGCGAGATTTCGTACCGGATTTGGAACAAATGGTCACCTACAGAGTATTAAAACGGTAATCGAAAAGACTATCGAATACAATCGACCACTCGTTCTGGCTTTCGTAGATTTCCATAAAGCGTTTGACACGGTAGAATTTGACAAAATCCTGGAAGCACTACAAGCATGTCGCATTGACTACCGATATACAAGGTTAATTTACAATACATATAAGAACGCAACTATGTCGGTGAAACTACATAAAAACACAGATCATATCATATCGGCAGAGGACTCCGACAGGGTGATACCTTATCGCCTAAACTGTTTACCGCAGTACTAGAATATGCTTGTAAAAAACTTAACTGGGAAGATAAAGGCCTGAACATTGACGGTAGAAGATTAACAAATTTGAAATTCGCAGACTACATAGTCTTCTTCTCGGACAACCTCAAGGAGATATGTACGATGTTACATGAACTTGGGTCTAAAGATTAAGCCTTTTGTGACATGCTAACAATATTTTTTTGTGAAGATCTTTTGGAAAGAAGTACTGCTGATTTATTTTTCAGAAAATTTAAGTCCACCATTTTACAGTACATATTTTTGCCTTTTACAGAGAGAAAATAATATGCAAATAAGCACGGTTTTACAGGTTTTGTTAGATTATTGATAATTTTATTGTCATTGTCAATAAAAACAAATAGACAATTCTAAGCAGTTGGCTTTGTTAACGTAGGAATCCCGTAGATGACAGAGAAATAATTATAATTTATAAAAAATAATTTATAGCAGCCTTCGTAGCCTCTTAAATTTAGTTTTTACCTCTTTAACCATTCAGATTTATGTTCATAGAAGCACCATTAACTAAAATAATGAAATTGTTGTAATTAAGAAATTATTCAAAGTACGATAAAGAAATTAATCGCGACCCACAATACTGTGAATCACAATGAAATTTAGAAAACGAATCTTGGAAAAAAGAAACCACAAAAGTAGTCAATGGGTCAAAAAACAAAAAAGCAAATAATTATAAAGTAGAACCCATAGTATCTTAACTTACAATAAAAATGTATCTTACCTTCGCGGTCACATCTTGTAAATCTTTCTGATCCTTTTTCTCTTCCAATGGACAACACTTGATCATAATTTCATGAAGAATTGCGGCTAACAAAAATTGGGCGGATGGGGCTAATGAGCAGCCTTCTCTAATTAGAGCAAGAAGAGAGCCCCACGCCTCAAATAACTGAGTGGAAGAAGCGTTACGCATATAACTGTAAATATAAAATAATAGCTTTTTATAATGCAAAAACGCTGTGTTTTAATGAAAGATACGACGTCTGATTAATTAGAATTAGTATAAGTTATGGGGTGTAGAGTTGTGTTATAGAGGCAGCACCGTTTATCGGAACGACCACATCGAGAGTCATAGACGGGAGATGGTTCTTGATAACTGGTCCTCATAAGACAATTAGCTCTTACTTATGGCTCCTCGCGCCACATCCCGGGCAACTGCGTTGATCTGCAGGCTAAACTAAGTGAGAGTAGCCAGATATGGCGAAAATTCCACCGAGCGATTGCCGGTATAAGTAATCCCCCGTTTACTGACCAACAACTTCGGGTGGAGGAGCTAGTAAATGATAGGGCACCCCTTTGTCCTGGAGTTAAGAAACTGGCTTCAAAGGCGGAAGGACCGTGGAAGTGGTCAACGGCATAGCGATGCGGAAGAAAGATTGACATAAGACAACTCATTAAAGATCCGGATTGGATAAGTCCTAGTAGAATCAAATGGATATGCTTGCAGCGAAATTCAATTTCGGAGTAAGCTCCTCAATTGGATCAACGACAAACATGAATTGGGTGTCAGAATTATATTGACAAAAGAAATGGCAAAATCTGTTGATAACTTCATCCTAATCTCAGTAAGAGTGATGCTCATACAACTAAAAGCCAGACCAATCGACATCAATATAATTCAAGTGTATGCACCTAAAACAGAAGGAACAGAAGAAGAGATAGAAGAACTGTACCATAGCATTAATCAAGTCGTGAAAAGGTTGAAAAATCAAGACTTAAAATTAGCTTAATTGTACGCTAAGAATGAGATATATCTGCAACTAATAAAATAAAGATAAAAAGGGGAGTCGGGCAAGGTGATACCATGTCACCAAAGCTGTGTATTACCGTTCTTGAGTATGCATTTAAAAAACTAACATGGCAACAGAAAGGAATATCCATCGATGGAGAAAGATTAAACCATCTACGTTTTGCGGACGATATCGTGCTTCTGTCAGATAATCTGGGAGAGATCAAAGACATGCTCCAAGAACTGAATGACATACTACAAGAAACTGGGCTGGAGATAAATTTCGAGAAAACCAAAATGATGACCAATATGGTTCCCAGCGAAGAGATACAGATCAATAACAACAAGGTAGAATTAATGAATAAATACACATACTTGGGTCATGAAATTAGAATAACCAGAGACAACCAAACCTGCGAGCTAAATAGACGAATCATGTTGGGATGGGCGGCATATGGACGGATGAGAGACATTTTTAAAACAAATATGCCAATTCACCTGAAAAGGAAGGCATTTAACCAATGCATCTTACCAGTCTTGACCTACGGAGCAGAGACCTTAACTTTAACGAAAGCTACTGCCGAAAAACTGAGGGTAACACAAAGGCGAATGGAGAGATCAATGCTGGGCCTGACCTTGAAAGATCGCGTAAGAAATGAGGAAATACGCCGACGAACTGGCGTAAACGATATACTGCGAATCAATAAACAAAAGTGGAGGTGGGCTGGACATGTTGCTAGAATGGAAGACGGAAGATGGACGAAGAGATTATTGGAGTGGAGACCAAGAGCCGGCAAGCGAAGTCGAGGCAGACCACCCACCCAATGGACCGACGACCTAAGGAGGATAGAAACAAACTGGATTGCAGCAGCTAGAGATAGAGAGAACTGGAGACGTTTGGAGGAGGCCTATATCCAACAATGGATGTGAAAATTCGGCTGGATGATAATGAGATATAATTAACAAATGACATTTATTCAAAGATCCGGCGGACCGGTTATTGGTCACTTCTGCAAACAACAGATAAGTTTTGTACAACAAACAAGTACAAATCAACTTGTTTTGAACAAACGAGATATATTTACTAATAAAGATCGAATATAGAAAGAAACGCTTTTAAATATGTGATGAAAATGGGAAATTGAATACTTACCAATAAAATAATTCGAGAACGGAAACATCCAAACAAATGTCTTGACTGAGACCTTCAGTGGGAGGAGGGTTTTTTATCACAGCCGTTACGGTTTGTACTAAATTATCTAATGGAATGACTCTAATAGCCAAAATTAAATACACTAAGTTATTTTGGCTAGCATTTGGCTCAGGAAGCACCTAAAATATATTATTTCTAGATAAGTTCACAATAATTATTGAATTAATAATGAAAATATCCAAAAATCCTTTATAAAAGGTATATAATTAAACAGGCTCCATCACAGAACTTTTTTTAGACTAAAAAGTTAATCATCAGGGCATACTGGTTACCAGGCATACGTGAGTCAATCCCCTTAATATCTGAGTAATAATAGCCCGCAAGAATATTTTTAAATATATACCTTTTATACAGGATTTTTAAATAAAACTTTTGTGATTCATGTTATACAGCCAACTAAAGAAATTTAATTTTCCTTGTGGATGACAAATATCCCTCTTAATATGGTTTGTGAAGTAATAGCGATTTAACGAAAAACTATTTTAATATCATGAATTCAATGAATAGCTTCTACCATCTGATATTTCCATTATATCAACTTCAACTTTTAATTTAGTTTAATGCGGTAGTTCAAATGAACTTATCTTACTAAATTTGCTGACCCCATTTGTGATGTCAATAGGTTAGTTAGTTTTACTTTTGTGGTTTATAGTATAGTAAGAGAGTAGACATCATTCTACGAATATATAAAATTTTATCAATGAATTCTGCTCCACTTACTGATGAGTGTACAATAATTTTTATTGTCTAGAAAATCTTTTTTATGTAATTTCCATTTAAAATATGTCTTATTAATAATAATAAATATTCAAGAATTTTTCTTTCAAAAAAAAATTAAAGGCACAATAATATGAGAAGAACAAGAATTACCAATCACAGTTTTCTAAATTCTACGATTTTTCTTCAATAAAAGAAAATACAAAAGTATGTGAACAAAAGAGGAAGCTAGCTTGTTGACGCCAAATTCAATAGTGTGATTCCTTAAATCAAGAGACTTTGGTTAAGTTTTTACACCAAGTGGGATTCTATGTACCAAATTTTAAGACTAATCTCAACAGTCGACGACACGATTTCGATAAGGACCTACCAGGTTATTATTAATTACAATTTAATAATCTATAAAAAAAATGTAATCAAACCCAAGACAATAAAACAGGTATACTCGTTTTCGTCGTTCTTTGCGTGTGCCTGAAATAAGCTACTACGGAATTTTTAATATTCGTCTCTCTCTGATACACAGATGCGTAATTCAATTGTGCGAGTCACGTTCGTCATGGTAAAGTGCGATGAGACGGGAATGAAGAGACCATTCACGTCTCCCAGTATTGTAGCAATAACACCGATGCGTTTGGCCGATACGGTGTCGGTGATAAGTTCGGCCTCTTTACGAATACAGATAGCTGGCAATGACGTGTTTTTTTTTAACATGTTACCCTGATCTGTGCAGGTTTGAAGTAGCTGATGAAATAGTTTTTATAAGTAAACAGTTTTTAATTAATTAATAGTGTGAGCTCTTACTGTGTGCAATTCCATTACATAAAATAATACTCTCGACACCTTAAAAATTCCAGTTTATTATAAATTAACTCTCTCTCTCTCTCTCTCTCTCTCTCTCTCTCTTCCTTTACCCATTGTAATAATGACTTGTGGCATTGTTCTTGAATGAGCTGGCTAATAGGTTTATAATTGTAGCAATTACCATTGATATTTTATGTTGTTTTAGTCGATTTTAGTCAGTCATTGTTTGAATTTGTTCCGAACAGTTTTACTTGTTATTTTTTGTTGTGAATAACTAATTGTTCTATTTAATAAAAAATGCCGGGAAAAACGATAACAGGAGAAATGCGACAATGTGTAGTTCATTTATTGGAGTATTTTAAAAAAGAAAAAGAAAACAACGGACCTTTGCTTTCATTATCATCGTTACATGAACGAGTAGCGCACGCTTTGAAAATCAGTCTTCGCACAGTGACAAGAATAAAGAGTGAATACAAGACAGGGGCAGCTCTTACTACACCAGGAGAGTCACGTAATGTACAAAAAAAAAAGACTAATGATGTCAACGATACTATAAAAGGAGAGATTAGAAATGAACTGTATGGCATGAAAGCAAAAGGAGAGCACGTTAGAGTTAAAGTTCTAAATACACAATTAAGAAACAAGCATCTCTATGACGGTTCTGATACAAGTTTGTGACGTCTTATGAAAAATTGTGGGTTTTCATACAAACTAGAAAATAGTAGAAGAGTGCTATTTGAGAAACCATGTATTGTCTCCAAACGACTGTATTTTTTGAGGCATTATATGGGAAATTTTTTAAGTCCAAGCCCACTTCAGTTCGTTTTTTAGATGAACATGGATATTCCTAAAAGGGACATATAAACGTACTTGGCAAGATGACTGTGTAAAAAGCATCAGAAAAGGACACGAAAATACAGGTAAACGCTTTGTTGTTTTACATGCCGGAAGTAGGCAAGAATTTGTTAAAGATGCTGGATTACTGTTTTCTACGAAATCGAAGAGTGCAGAGTATCATGATTCTATGGATAAAGAGTCTTTTAAAAAGTGGGTCTCCGAAAAGCTGATACCAATGTTGGGAGGAACCATCTCTAATTATTATGGATAATGCCTCATACCATAGCTCTTTAATAGAAAAGTTGCCGAATGCCAGTTGGAAAAAATCGGACTTAGAAGAATGGTTACGAGCGAAAAAAATAATTTTTGACGACGATTCGGGCAAGACAGAGCTATTGAGTCTTTGACGCCAGAATAAACCACAAAATACCAGGTACGTTATAGACGAGCTACTCCAAGAACATAAGCATCAGGTTTTGAGATTGCCTCCACTGTCAATATAATCCGATTGAGTTGGTCAGGGGCATTTCTAAACAATACTATGATCGTCATATTGGAGAACATGGACGTGGAGATGAAACAGTGAAAAAAGTTTGGGGCGATGCATTAGCTGAGGCAACACCTGCAGTGTGGGTGAGTTGTGTTAACCATACTGAAAAATTAATTCAGGACGACTGGGCAAAAATGGTCACATATGATGAAAATGAAAGTAGGATTATCATCGATTTGGCGGAAGATTCCAACGATGAAGACAGTTCCAGTGAAGATGCTGAGTGATTAGCTAATTAATCAAGGTCAGTACGTTGTGACAGTTCAGAATTCGCTACAGTGCTTAAAACTTAAAAAATCTGTATCATTTTTTTATTTTAACACTTTTTTGGGTATATTTCAAAATTCTTTTAAAATGTACTTTTCGTTATATCCTGTCCTATTGTACTTCAAGCTAGAAAAATACTTCTTCGCAATTTATACGTATATTCTGTTATTAGAAATTTAATAAAAAATAATTTATAATTTTCTTTTATAACTATTATTTCGTTTGACATGCTACATTTTGCTCCGCAACTGAAGGAGGTAAACGAATCGAGCTTAGACAAGGAAAGACAGCTGAAACAACTTATTGCAAGTGTTTTTACACGCACACGCCAAGAACGATGAAAACGTTTATAATTAATTTTATATTTAAATTATCACCAAGTTGAGCAATTTGCGCCAAATGTATGCAATTTATATTACATTATTAACCGATTTTATGCTGACGTAAAGTTCAGATTTTTCCTCATCGAAAAACTATTGTTTTCTCAATATTGACTATAGAACTTCTATTAAAATATATAAAACAACATCTAAAACTTAATTATTAGTAAAAGTTCAATTATTCTTACCGTTTTAACACTACTAAATGGATTTCTCCGCTCATACCAAGCCACTGAAATCGCTGCTAAGAAACTAGTACTGTGATGCACAGAAATAGGACTTAAAAATTCTAGTAGCTGTTGCTTAACAATTTTAGAATTGCCATATACTCCGTTATAATCGTTTTCCAAATTGACTATAGTTTGCCAAAGCTTGGCAACACTAGAGATTATCCTAGGCATATGACTAAGTATAGTTTTTCGCGCACTTTGGTAGTGATCCGAGTTTTGTTTCGAAGAAAAGTTTATGTCACTGCCCAAAGGCGAGAAAAATACGTTAAACAAGTTGTTGATAATTTCTCCTGGATTCGTTAAGGGCGTAGTCGAGTTTGTGGGTACATTTTGGTTGACTGTTTGGGAGGAATCTAAGAGGCAATAATGGCAAAGCATTGTTAGAGCTTCTAGTTGGGTTACTGCATAATCTGAACATAACTCGTTCTCTAATTCGGGCATGTTATAATTTGTTGCAATCTTTTCCACATTATCGCAGATCTGATGAATTACACTAATGGAAATTTGCTTCAGGTTATCTCCGAAGTAAGGAAGACACGAGGTTATCATGTACAACCAATTTTCATGAAGATATTTGATACTTTGTTGTCGCAGAGCACTCATCACTGCTGACAGGAAAATTTGTTGCTGCGGTATCAATACTATTGACGAATTTAAAGCTTCACCATTTGTTGAAGACTCACCCGCTCCTTTACGAGAGAAAACTTTATGTTCAAGTATAATTAAAGAGTTGATCAACCGTAATATTTGTAGCTGGTAGGCTTCTACATGTTCCCCAATTCTATTGTTGTTATCACAAAGCTGAAAGTTATTATAAGCTAAAATTTCTTCAGCGAACGTCATTTCTTCGTCGAAGTTTCTCACTGATATTAGTAAACAATTCAAAAGAATCTTTTGAAGCTTGCATTTGACTAATAGATCAGCTATATAGCTTGAAAATCCCTTCGAGTTTTCCGCTACCATTATAATCAATTTCTTCATTATAATATTTAAAATATCTAAACTTTCGAGTTGAATCTTTAGATTGTTGTTCATTTCTTCAGTTATTAACGAAGAATCTTCTAAAAAAGGGAAGAATGTTCTTGAATAGTTCAGACATATTAAAATAATTACATCCAGGAACATGTATCCTCTGTAGAAATTTACATAGTCGTTACTGAGTTCTCCAGCAAATCCATAACCCAGGAGGGATTTCCGGTGTCTTGCAAGCAGATTTAATATTTCGTTACTTTTAAGATCCTTGATCCCACTAGTTGCCAGACATTTAATAAACAGTTGGGGATTGGAATTGATGCAGTTTTTCAAAGTTTGTAGACCGTAGATTATTTGGTTTGAATCGAAAATTTCGTAATACAAACATAGATGCGAGTGAATTGGATATAGTGCAACGTTTTTTGGTGTTTGTTGATTCATTTTGCACCTTAAATCTAAATCTGTAGGTCGAATAGCCCCACCATCTATATCATCGATATCCTCGGAACATACCCTGTCGATAATTTCGTTTAATATCTCACCAACTATGATTTTTTCTTCGTTTTTTCTGAAAAAATCTTCAGCACTTTTGCTAATTTCCAATTCACAGCTTGCATGTAGATTATCCGAATCGGATATACAGTAGGACCAACTTTGCACAAGAGTACTTTCCATATCTGTCGTTTTTGCGACATTAATTTGTTCATCGAAGCTTTGAGATTTCGGAATTTTTGCCACAGTCACACCGTCGTTAACAGCCTCCACCATCACTCCATCTGCAATTGGCTCGATACTTTCTAATATTAGCCTAGCTCTATATTCTCTGTCGTTCGACAATTCTAAACTACTTTTGTTTTTGAGGCTATCGAAACCAGAGTCTCTTTCACCGTTCGTTAAACGTTCCGGTGTGTAGCATTTACTCAAAGAATCATCATAACTTGTAGGACTTAGATCATTACTAGATGATATACTTTCAAGTGAGGAGTTTGAGTCTCTTTTCGTGTAAGAACCATCCAAACCAGTTGGATAGATTTCTTTGGAGCTTAAAGGATTGATAATTAACTTTACATTTTTAGGAGTCTTTTCGGATTTAGGAGAATTGGTTACTCCTTTAAAATCCCTATTTTTTCTAGTTACAACATTATTGGAGTCTTCATTAATACTCGTGGTCATATTTATCACAGAAGAGGAATACCTTTTACCAGCTTTTGAGAATGTAAACCATCGTTTTTTGGAGGGTCTTGGGCTAGGACTGTCTGTTACGTGGTACATTATGTTACCGTTGACATTGCTGACGGCGTATATCTTCTTTGATTGGATATTTTCCATCCTGGTGTGTTCGTCTTTGGTTATATCGCTTTGGGAATCTGAATCTGCTATATTGACGTGACGTATTGAAACTCTTGCGGTATTGGAGGCTAGTAGTTTCAATAATATAGGATTTATTATTCTAGCGATATCGTTGTGTAGTAGACTGTGGGTTAAAAACGATTCTGATATTAGCTGTAGGTTTGGAGTTTCTTTGTTTTGGAGGTTATCCAAGATTTTTAAAAGTGATCTAAAAAATAGAAGAATATTAGAATGAATATCTATTAATTCTAAAGATAATACAGAACCATAGACAAAAATCGTAATTAGAGTTGGTTTGTATCGATTCAGAACCCTTTAATTTTTAAAATATTTATTTATTTAATTTCAATTTTACTACACTAATTTTCAATAAGCGATGCAGTGGACGTAAATATTAGCACGTGTAAGCCTCTAACAGGACCATATTTTCGATTATATTTTCGTTTGGCCAAAAGTATTATCTTGTAAAATACGAAATTTATATTTTAATTTTGCAAAAGTGCGAGACATTGGTATCCGACAATAGGAACCATTTATACTGGACGAAAAAAACCAAGAAATTATATTTTTATGTCAAAAGCAGCCAAAAATTTTTATATATAGGGTGTTCTCAAAAAATATAATGGTTATTTATAATTTTTGTTATAGTTGTATGTACGATTCCAAAAAGTTTAAATATTGTAAAACGGATAGTTTTTTTGGAATAAAAATACAAAATGATTCATAATTCGTTTGAGTTAAATATATAATTTCATCATCATCATTGGTGCTACAGCCCTATAAAAGAGACTCAACCTTCCCAAGTCTCTTACGCCAGTCAGTCCTATCCATTGCCAACTGTTGCCAGTTTGCTGCGCCTATTTTTCTACCATCCACATCTACACTATACCTCCATCTGAGTTTTGGCCTACCCCTACTTCTACTTACCACAGGTTGTAACATAAGGATTCTTCTAGGAGGGTTGTTCTGCTGTGATCTTGCCAGATGTCCTGCCCATCTTAGTCTTCGTATTTTTATAAGAGATACTACATTTTTACCACCAAATATATATTTATATCTGTGATATATCTCGTAGTTGTACCTTCTTCTCCAAACACCATTTTCACAGATGCCACCGAACATTCTTCTCAGGATCCTTCGTTCAAATACAATTGTATATGGTTATTTTTGTTTTTTTTTTTTGGCTTAAGTTTCTGCTTCTCATATGTCTAGTCAATCCAAAACAGGCTATTAACATGGCAATTTTGATCTTGTTTGCGACGCTTCTGAATAGTTCGACCGATGTGAATCCGAACCACTTCCGTCGATTTTTCCCTGGACAATCAAGTGTAGCAGACGGTACTTATCGTGTCTCAATATGTGGCCTAGATATTGAAGCTTTCTTTGTTTAATTGTATTCACGATTTCTTTCTCCTTTCCGATTCTTTGGAGTACCTCTATGTTGGTTAACATGTTCGGTCCAGGATATACGAAGAATGCGTCGGTACACCCACATTTCGAATGCTTCTAGTTTTCTCGTTAGCCTCCGTCAGCGTCCAGGCCTCCACGCCATACAGCAAGATCGGAAAAATGTAGCATTTAACTATACGTAGTTTTAGGGGACGAGACAAATCCTTGCTTATGAGGAGCTTTTTGATACTGCTAATGCTGCTCTAGCTAGATCCTTTCTTGCCTTAATTTCTATGGTCTGTTCCCATTTTGCATTTACGTTGGTGCCAAGGTACAGGTATAGTACATATATATACAGGTATAGTATAGTAAGTAGTTCTTTATAGTGTTCCACCAACCTTTTCAATACTTCTTTTGTATTGAGTATATGCCCCTCCTTATCCTTACATAGTCCGATCCTTGGTTTAAATTCTTTTCTTGCATTATTTAGATTTTTACAGAATTTTCTTGTTTGATTTTCCTTTTTTAATGCCTCAAGTACTTCCACTATTCTATTTTGATAGAGAGTTTCTCTTCTCTTCTGAGATCTTTATATTTTTGTTCTTTTTCTCGGGTTCTTCTTTGCTGCATCAGTTTATATGCATTGTTCTTTCTTCTTGTAATGTCCTCGCAATCAGCATCGAACCACTCATTGCGTGGTGGTGGTCTTTGCGGCCCTAGAATGTTATTTGCTGCGTCTTTAATATGATTTTTACACATTTCCCATTGTTCACTAAATGTTAGATTCTCTTTAGTTATGTATTTAGTTTCGATAAATATATTATTTAAATATATCGATCTCTGCCGGCGTAAATATATGGCAGAGATCGAGATCTCGGTTATTTTTAAACATTATTCTGATGAACTGGATTTCTAGTGGGTATTTTGCTTCTGATAAAAAATATGTCACTATCATTAACGATTATAACAAGTGGTTTAGAATGTGTTTCAATTATATTTTCCAGCCGCCACATTTCCTTTTCTACTTTTTTTTAAACATATATATAATTGATGAAATTGAATTATAAAATAGAGTTATGTCATCTGAAAATTTGAAGGCGGTGTTTCTTCCTGCACTATCATTTTTAATATTTGCCCAGATGAGTTCTATGGAGTTTATCCCACAGTGATACAGAGGAACTCTCAATACCAGTTCATTCTGGTATGGCATGTTTTTGTACGATTTAAAAAAGCTGTACTTTAAGCATATGTTGATCAAATTTTATATTTTTGGAATGGAGACAATTCTGGATATTGCTTTATTAGATGCACTTGTTGGTATTTTATTCTTTATTTTACGAGAATGGTACGATCCGTTGTCTAGAACAATGATATATTTGTCTTCTAATATTGGTAAGACATTGAAAATTTTGACCAATTTGCAAAACATTGATCTTTCTCTGGATCTGATCATCTCTTTATGGTTACTACCGTTATCTACTGGTCTTTACTTATTCGACTCAAATGCCCAGAGGGGATTTGGAACAAACCCATTCTCGCTGCTAATGTGACAAATAATCTTTCAAATAATAAGCCTTTTACCTTTTCCTAAAAATTTAAAGTAATTGTAAGTTTTGAGATTTGAAATATGTAGAATGTAATAAATTACTTAAAGGATGTTTTAATCCCGTTGTTAATCCGTCCAGAGAAGCGTGTTGGAGATTTTACTGTAGTCTCTACACATATTTTAAATTTTGTATGCCCAACGTTCAACCATGACTCATCCAGATTATAAATTTTGCGTTTGCGAAAAAAGATCTGATCTATGGTCGATCTATGTTTTCTGAAGCCGGCTTGGTATTCTCCCATGAAATTTTCTACAAGCGGTGTCAAACTACTTAATAGGATGTTCGATAAGATTTTATATGCCGTATTAAATAGAAAGATGCCTCTATAATTAGAGCATTTGGTTTTATCTCCCTTTTTATGGATGGAGATTATTAAAGTTTTGTGCCATTTTGTTGGTATTTTCTCTTCATTCCATATCGTTCCAAGTGTTATTAGTTTGTGTATTTGTCTATGTAGAGTTTCTCCTCCGTACTTAAGTAATTCAGCCAGTATATTGTCAAAGACTGGAGTTTTTCTGTTCTTCAATTTGTTAATTGCTTGCAATGTTTCATCTATTTTGGGGTCCTCTACCCGTAGGTCCACCCCAAAATAAATATTTTCTCCATGTTCTTCCTCTTGATGTATGTTTAGTAAAGTCTTGAAATATTCTTGCCATGTTTGGAGCAGTTCTTTTTTATTTATTATTAATTCTTAATTTTTTCTGAGTACACACACACGCATCTAGGTCTGAAGCCTTTCTTTTCGTTTGACACTGAATTGTAAAATGCTCGACTATTTGACTGATGCCTATTCCTTTCCATTTCTTCATATTTCTATTGTTCGTACTTCCTTTTTTCTCTCTGATTAATTTTCTTATTTCTTTGGGCTACTCTGATCTACTGTATTTAGATGCTGTTTAATTTCTTGTTTGTAATTTTCTCGGATTTCCTTTTGCATTTTCCCGTTGTTCTACTGTCCCAATGCTTCGTTGGCCTTAGGTTTCTCTGAAGATATTCTCAACCTGATTTTTGCTCTTACTAGCTGATCGTCTGTATCTCCATCTACTCCCTTGAGGCTTCTTACATCCAGCACATTACTTCCGTGTCTAGCATCGATAATTACGTGGCCAATTTGGTTCCGCGTAGAGTGGTCATTAGAGATCCAACTCTGTTTATGAATGTTTTTATGTTAGAACATAGTAGACTTTACAAGCATATTGTTAGCTGATCTCTACAAGCCTTTGTCCATTGTCGTTTGAGATATCTTGGAGGCTGTGTAGTCCTATTGTCGGTCTTAGGTTACTAGACTTATTGTATCTTAGGTCTGTCAGTTGTCTCCACAGATTATCTGCATGTCTTGTTTGGGGATTTTCTCAAGCGTTCTTTCGAATTGTTCATAGAAGTAGTCTTTAATATGTTCGTCTTTATCTTCTGTCGGAGCATGTGAGGATAAAATTTGGATATTGTACCATTTTCCTTTCAGTCTAATATAACGAAGTCTCTCACTAATGGGCGTGAAACTTACAATACTGTTCAGGTATTCTTCTCGTACTACGAAACCTGTGCCAAATTCGTGTTTTTCTGTCTGGTTTCCACTGTAGAAAATGACCACCTTGTCTATTTTTATGTTTCCCGTGTCTAGCCACCTTATTTCTTGTATTGCTGTAATGTCCATTCCTACTTTTTCTAACTGTTTTATTGCATGTATAGATGCTTCCGTCCGGTACCAACTTAGAACATTTCATGTTCCAACATTAAGAGTCCTTGTCCATTGCGATTGTCGTTTTCCGTATGTATTTGTTCGAGTACGAGGCAAAATTGCAGTTTTCATAACAGACTGTTTTTTAGAAGGCAGGTTGTTGGCCTTCCGCTTAACCTTCCTTCTTTCTCCGGGCTTGGGATTGGCAAGAAAGACTGTTAAGCTACTCGATTCAGCCAACAGTCATTCCAGGCGGAGTTCCAACTAAGTTATGTTCCTCCGCGTATAATGACTACCAAATGATACGGTATGCTGTAAATTACTAGAGTGGCCGGTAGCTTATGCTACGATGTCAGTTAATATAGTTTATGAGGTAGATATGAACGTTTATACATTGTTAAAATCATGAATTGGGAGTGCTCCTCGTAACATCCATAATGTTAATAACGTGTATTGGTTAGTTTATTCCTAGTGTATCTTTATTTTGTAACTATATAGTTCATATATAGAATAACTTCTTTAACAATTAAAATACAATTTTATCGTTGTTGACGCCCCATACGTCGCTTATTGAAATTTAGTATAGTTTATTAGTGAATGCGTAGGCATCGAATATACCAAGCTTAAATGAGCTGAATAGACTTAAGAAAATAAATATAAACAGTTTGTCTTACCTGTCAAAATTTCTTATATGTGGTTTATTTGGAGACGTTTTAATGTTCAGGTCTCTCCCAAGATGCCACAAGAGGAAAAATTGTTTGATAGCTAGTACGTTTATATTTTCGTGGGTAAGATATGTGTTGATAACATTTTCCACGAACATCGTATTGTCGAATATAGTGTGTATTTGATATAGCAGCGTGACACATAACATAAGCTGGTTTTGATTACTTAGAGTTCCTAGAAGTTTCCATAATATTTGGCACATTTCCTGAAAGAAAAAAGTAGATAACGATTAAAAATGTAAACGAAAGATCGGTCTGCAGTGATAAAAATTCGAAACTTGAGTGGTAATAATTAGGATGTTTTGATAGTAAAACAATGTCATTAAGAATTATTATTATATTACTATTATAAACAAGCGTTTGGCAAACTAAACCGAGACTTACAAGATAATAATATACCAAATAAAATTATAAGAATGATAGAAATGGCAATGCGAGATTCCCAAGCAACAATAGACACCGGAAGAGAAAAAAACATAAATAATACAAATAAAAAATGGAGTAAGACAAGCAGATGTGCTCTCAACGGTACTATTTATTCTCTCGCTAGACAAGATAATAAAAAAGCTGTCAAACGCAGGAACTATCAACAAGAATGTAATGTAAATAATATGATATGCAGGCGACATAACCATATTAGCAACAGATAAAAGGGCAATAAAGGAAACCTTTCAAGAAATAGAAAACGAAGTCAAACTGAGAGAACTGGAAATAAATGAAACAAAATACATGAACGTAAGCAAGAAAAAGAATAGGTACACAAGTGACAGAACCGACAAAAGATGCACACAGTTTCGAAGAGGTTAAAACATTCAAATATTTGAGAGTACTAGTCAACAGAATAAATGAAAGTGTAGATACGAAAACACGAATCCAAGCGGTAAACACAGCGCTTTATAGAAATAAAAAAAAATGTATAGAGATAAGAAGATAAGCCGAAACACAAAAATGAAAATCTACAAAACGACCATAAGACCAATAGTAGTATATGCTGCAGAAACATTTACATTAACAGCAAGACAAAAAGAGCAATTGAAAGTTTTTAAAAGGAAGATTATCAGAAAAATACTGAGACCAAAGAGGAAAAACGAAAAAGATGCAAGACAATGGATGAATCACATGATACAAATATACAATATTTAATAAAATAATATTTTAAAAGTGTTACAAGGCTTTAAATTTTTCTCGATATGAGGTGTGCAGTGTAGGGTTGTGCCGTTGATCAATATGTGCAAGAGTTTTGTACCCGGTACAGCGTTTTAAAGCTTTCCAAAAGACAAGGAAATGCAAGATGTTTGGAAACATTTGTGTAAACGCCAGGATAATTTTAATGTTAAATTTGCTCATGTTTGCTCTAAGCACTTTGTTGAACGTGATTGAAGTGATGAATCGGTCATTCAGGTTGGCAAAATATAAAACAGAAGTCAACTACTTTATAAGTTTATAAAAGACGTTTCGCTTTATACTTCTAAAGCTTCATCAGTTCTAACTCAATATGTAGTATTAAAGATTTTATTATATATGTACTTAAGTTTACTCATTATTTAGAACTAACTTAAAAAAAAACAGAAACAAAGGACACAAAAACTCTGCAAAAAATAATATTCGCAGAAACGAAGATTTAACAAAATTTTAAACGTATATTTGGCTTCATTTAGAGATGGTTCTCCAATGAAGACAAACAAAACACTGGTGAGTGTTTTGTTTGTCCTTTGTTTCTGTTTTTTTTAAGTTAGTATATATATATATATATATATATATATATATATATATATATATATATATATATATATAGTTGGGAGATTAAATAATTAGAAACGAATAAATTTTTTGTTAAAGCTAAATAAAAGAACAAAGAGTTTTACTTATCCTGCCCTATTAATGACTGCAACCTCAAAAGAAATATATATATATATATATATATATATATATATATATATATATATATATATATATATATATATATATATATATATATATATATATATATATATATATATATATATATATATATATATATTTATATATGTAGGTAGGAGATTAAATAATTATAACCATATTTTAGCATATCCCGAAGAAGCTAATAAATTTTTGTGAAAGCTAAATAAAAGAACAAAGAGTTTTACTTATTCTGCCCTATTAATGACTGCAACCTCAAAAGAAATAGTTTACCTAACGTGTCAGTCAATAATACCTAACTACTATATGTAAAATATATATTGTATGAAAATCACATTCCATAGTTTGAAATTTGTGGCATTCGGCCATGACTCCCTCCATCAAACTTCACTCTTATGGGAAAATTGTTATTTTTTACAATATACTAATTTAAATACTTAACCTAAAATTCATGTAGTAAATAAAACATCTAGTAAATTATATTAGAATTTCAACAGTTCGTTTCATCCGCAAGCATGAATACATTTTAAAAATTTAGCACAAGGTGACGTCATGCGCGTGAGTGTACGAGGTTAGTGCGTGGCAATATCATATCTGGTATCCTTATATCATGGATGAATCACGAAATACAAGAATGGATGGGTCAAGAGAACATAGTTAGAGCAATAAAAGTACAAAGAATTAGATGGTATGGACACATAATAAGATGAGAGAAGAGCAATCAAGAGTTATTATATCTTACTATCGGCTTACGTGTAATGCGTCATTATATTTGTCTGTAATATATGTTAACCGCGCTATATAGTGGCATAAAGAGTATAGACTATAATATTGCTGTCAATAATAAGTTTTTCTTTTTGGAAGCATAGCTTTCTTATCGCAAGGCATGGACGGAATGCATTGATAGGTGAAATAGATCGCGCAGAGGTGTGAAAAAATAAAAACAAAAGAAAAGCTATGAAATGTAATGAAACGACAGATCGTCCGACCACTACGTGGAGTAGTAAACGCAGTCCCATGCGTATATCTTAATAAACTAAAATACACTAAACTGCTATGCTTCTCCCCTTCGGTCACCCCAGGAATGACACATCCCGTTTTTTATTTCCTTGAACAGCGAAGAATAACAGCATATTAAATCTACGAAAATGTATGCTTGTTGGACTAAAAGTGTGACAATGAAGCAACTAACATTGTAACAAATTTGTGAGATTTCTTACATTGGGGATCTTACATTATAACGAAAATTAAAGCATACGGTTCAACTTATTTATACATATAATGTATTTAAATATTAACAAACTTAATAGCCTTCTTAAAATTTATTTTATAACCAACTCTTCAGGGCGTGCATGATTTGGACGCTAAATTTAAAATTCGACACTGAAAAATAAAATTACCTGTTTCTGCATACATGATTTGGACGCTGGGTGTAATTGAAATGTAAATGGAAAGTCAGGTAATAAAATTCTAGAGATTAAGCTTGATACGGTTTACTTGTCACTTTGAAATAAATACGACATACATTTTACGAAATGGAATCGATCGAAACAGTTTGATACTCATGTATCCTATTTCTAACGAACATAATTTTTTTTTCTACTCTTTGGATCTTTAAGTCTATTACTTTCACTATTACAGACACTATTAATTTTAATGTAAGTTTCAGTTTGAAAATTTTTTAAAACATCAATAAAATGGAAAATATTTGGATGAGCATGGTAAAAATTATCATTAAAACGCGAGTGGAACGATTCACAAGCATTAGTTGTTAATTGTAAACTCTCACTCATCGCAGTCCACATCTCCGACGGAAATGTTGCGTGGTCGCCAATGTAGTTGTCCAATAAGTAGTCGGAAAAATTTTCAATTTTTGAATCCTTTGGTTGAATAGCCATAAAATCATATATGAAAGATTCTTCGACTTCTGAGGGAGGTAAAAATGGCAGCCCAAAAATATATTTCAGCCATTTAGATATTTCACTGTCTGCCAATTTATTTTCCCGAATTAAGCCACAACCACCGATATTACGATACCAAGCTTGTATAAGATGAAAACGGCACCCTTTAATGTGCACATTTGGAAATTCAAAACGCGCAGCATTGTGGATAGCAATTTCAAAATCGGAGAAAATTATTTTTGGATTGAATTTTAGACCAATTACTTCACATTTGCGTTTCAAAACATTAAATAATTTTATATAGGTTTGTTCCGATTTGCCGGGAAGTAAACAATAACACAATGGTACATAATGTCCATTGATAAATACATGTATGGTAAAAAATTGCTTGAAATATTGAGCAGAGTAATTAAATGTACCGTCCATATAAATCGTTTCACTGCCGCATAGAAAACGCATGTTAGTGTTACACGAGATGATAATGTTAGAACTTAGTTCAACCGCAAATATAAAATTCTCGTCTTTAAGTGTTTTGATATTCATAATATTTACCGCAGCAATAGTTTCTTCTTTACTTTTGGGCAGTTTCGGGTGAGCCATTCGCCGTTCACTGTATATTTGATTTCGTATTAAATTAACGTCTTTAACAGACATGTGACTCAAGCAATCTACATTTTCTTTCAACGCACTATGTATGATTTTGGACGGCCTTTCGGTCAAATTATCCTTAGCCTTCCTTTTGGCACTGCTACGCACAATCTGTCTATTAAGCGTCTTGATATCACACTCGTGATTATGTTCTAGATTACTTCGGATCACTAACTTTTCTGGTCCTTTCGTGAATATCTTCGCTTTACACGACCGTTTTACGCACCTCCAATACGTTTCTCCCGATTTTAGTACTTTATCTTGAGAAAAAGTAAAACTGTTCACTTTGAGCAAAATTTTACCACAATTACTTACTAACATTGAAATTTCCATGTTCACTTTTCACTATTCTCTGACAAACTAGTAACTAAGTAAATTTCAATGACCATCATTAAACCCTAATTATATCTAATATCTGGTACCTGCGATAATCCTTCCGGCAGCGTCCAAAACAAGGGTACTTTTAAGACCCTCAGGTACTTCAGCGTCGAAAACATGCCCGCCCACTCTTCAAAAGGGCGCGATCTTCAAAGTAACTAAATCAAGCGTTCTTTTATATTAAAACAAGTATATTCGAGCCAGTTCTGAGAATTTCTCTCGAATTTAGATATAATTCGGCGCCTGTTACTCACATTTGAGATTAGTCGACGTCTGCACTCTGCCGACAGTATTGGCGACGTGCAAGTACTTGGAGGGGATACGAGAAACGATCGTGCGTGAGTAGCGGAGAAATTTTGCATTTTTT